GGCAAGATGCAACGCACGGCACTGTGCGGAATCGGTTACAACGAGGAAACTCACTGCATCTCACATTGCATGCAATCTTGCCCCCATGCTCGGATATGCTGCTAACTGAACACACGAAGGCTATGAAAGTCACACCCTACTAACTAACCCTGAAACCCTTTAACCGACTCTAAACACACGTTAAACCATACGAGCCATCATCAAATAAAAATGGAGGCTCAGTCGAGTCATTTCTGATTCAGACAGAGCTCCGGCCACCGCCGCTTTCCGGGGTCTGGAGCACAGCCGACCAACACAAACAGCCCCCATTTACCGGCTCGAAGCACCTTTGTGCAGCACGTGTGACTTGCAGCGGGGCAATTGGCTAAGTCGCTGCGTGTTTTCCACAGCTCGGGCCACTGCTTGCACCACGCTCTCAGTCCGGCCTCCCCCTTGGGCATGAAGGGATTCCCGGTCTCCACCTCAAACACCACGCAAGCATAGGCCCACATATCCACAGCTGCAGTCAGCAGCTGCTTTCTGACACCGCAGTCTCCATCGCCATTCACACGAGCGGGCCACAGCTCCGGAGGTCGATAGGCAGCCGTGACATACTGCAGGAACCTGGGAGCCTGAGAAGCCTTCTGGAGCCGTGCCATGTTCTCACTCATGCCGAAGTCGCACACCTGCACCTGATCTGTGCAAGGGCACCAAAGAACATTGCCAGGTTTCACATCCAAGTGTAGGATGCCTGCGTCATGCAAGGTCTGCAGTGCACTTCTCAGCTGAGCTGCCACAGACCACGTCCTCGGCTTGCCATGCGCCGCAGGATTTCGAAGTGCGGTTGCCAGGCTGGGCCCACATAGGCTAGTAGCCATCCATGGCCAAGGTCTGCCCGTGACACCCGAGCTGACAAGAAGCGGGAACCACATCATCTTCTGCTGCGGAACGGCCTTCATTAGAAGCTTCATCTGCTCCACTTCGTGCCTGCAATCCGCGGGGCCATCGGAGCCACGATAAACCTTCACCGCCACGTTAAGGCCGCTTTGCGGATGCTGGCAACTGTAGACACTGCCATAGGCTCCGCCTCCAATTGGAGCCCTTGCACCATTAAGCTCAAATGGGCCAACGCGACCGCCAGATTCGTCAGCGGCAGGGGGGTCCTTCGCCTCGTCGGGGCCGCCCGCACTGGTCGTGGAGCCCCGCATCCTGATGCCAAGAACGGCCAGTGCACTTCGCTGAGCCATGAACTCATCTTTGCTCCTCGCCATGAATGGTGCCTTCTGCTTGTCGGTCATGCCCTGCCAGACTGCGCCAAGATGCTTCATCTCATTGAGAAACTCGTGCTTGGGAGCGCCTTTCTTGACTTCGGAGTTTTCCTGGAACCAGATGACGAAGGCCCTTCGAGCCTTGGGGACCAAGCCGTCTTTCACAGCCTGCTTCCGCAAGCTCTGCGATTTGCTGCCACCATGCTGGCACCCCCGGGGCATCCGACGAGAAGCCGTCTTGAGACTGGTTTTGCCCCAGAGGCGTCTGGTAGGCCTCCATCGGCAGCCCATGTCGAACCCAAGCAGGGAACCTCAGAGCCTGGGAACCTGGGGCCATAACGGCTCGCTTTAATGCATTCAGGCGACTACAACAACATCCTCGGCGAGTCCTATTTCAATGTCATGCCACAATAAGAGCATTTCGGCTTTTTCAGGCGACAGTAGTCACTGCTACACACTACTGACAAAACTGAGCCCGGCAAAAGGTCAAGAGCCTGAGAACCTGGGAGCCTAGGTGCCTGAGCTGGTGCCTGAGCTGGCGGATTCGGTCGAAGTGAAACATCATCACTGCGGTTGATCGCGGGGGCTATCTGGCTCAGCAGGTGCCTCGTCCTGGTCGTCTTGGTTGGACAAGCTCTCCAGAACGTGCGGGAAATGCTTCTTCACCGCCTTGGCATTCTCGTCCGAGTAAAGAGTGGATCCCTCCAAAGCCATCATTCCGCAAGCTGCGCGATCAGCAACCGCCTGGACCCACGACATGTGCTCCTTGTTGAGGCCTCGGATAATTTAAATAAAATCAAATGACAATGATCTGACGAATCTACTGGACAAGTAAGGGTGCTGCAAAGCCCGTGGTATGCGATGCCGGCAGTCAAAGAAGCCTCCATCAGAGCACCGGTGCCAGCCGTGAGGTCAAACACTGCCTCCGCGCAAAACTCCTCAATGATGGCATTCCAATATGCTATCGGCTTCGACTCGTTCCAGAACAAGGGTACGTCGGAGCCGTGGCGATCCTGCCAGTCCTCTGGCGGTGTCGGGAGGTCGCCGGTTGTTGCCGGAGCAATGATCTTCTTCTTGGTGTCTGCAGACACGAGGGGCATTTCAGAAACCGCACGGTACTCCACGCCTGAGTAAGTGCCTTGGTACGTAGAAGCCTCGCCGCAGACTGTGAAGGAGCCTTTCTTCGTCGTCTGAATCTTGGTGCGTGCGACCGGGAACTTAACCGCTCCTGTCTCCACCTTCTTTGCAGCCAGCGGAACGCGGCGAGTGCGACCAGTTCTCGGCGGGCACCCACCTGAGTACACGATGGTGCACTCCTCGGTGTGCTGCTGGTTCAGCAGGAGGTCTTCCTTAAAGAACCAGGTGCAGCCTTTGAGCCTTGGAGCCTGGGAGCCTTGTCACATCACCCCGCCAAGACTCGGACACGCGGCGAATTTCCCGCATTCTGCCGTCGAAGAGTACAACGAAATCCTCGGGCCCAGAAATGTCTTTGGCAAAGGCACAGATCTCTTTCCATTCCTCGCTTGGCGGAGTGCCCTTGAGCCACGGGTCGGTACCAGCCTCTGCCAAGAGATCCGCACTGGCAACGATCAGGCGGTGCGAAGAGTTTAAGGTGCCCTTGTGCGTGAAGACCTTGCCGCAACCTCTGAACGCATTGACTAGGCAGTCCTTCGAGATCTTGTTCGGTACCGAGAACGACACGAACTTGCGGCGTTCCGTTTGCACCGCCTTCCACTGCCGCTCACGCTCGACACATTCCTCGGGTGTGTCAGCTTCAGAAGCCTTGGCCAGGCTTTGGAGCAAACTCGGAGCAGGAGCCGCAGATGTGGCACCAACGGACTTCGTGCTGTTGTCGAACTTGTCGACAATGATCTTCATCTGAGTGATAAGCGCACATGGCTCCTCGTGCTCCGTGTCATCCGAGCTTCCAAGCTGTGCAGCTGTCAATGCCTTTGCAAGGCCATCTTCACTCGAAGCCAGCATGCAGCAATCCTTGTAGTACTTCCCCGACATCAGCTCCAGCAGCAAATCCAAAAGCATGCCAATGGCTTTGTTGAAACCCTCTTTAACAGCTCCAATCTTGGACTGCGGAACAGGGCGCTCCACGTCCTCTGGGTCCTCGCCGTCCATGTCGTCCTCTCCAGCAGCCCCTTGATCAGCATCAGCATGGCAGAGATATTTCTCCCAACATGTGGAAGGGCAACGGAGTTCAGCCAAAATCCCTGTCAGCTTAACCTTGTCCGGCTCAGGCAACTTGTTCGCCAGCTTTGCTGCATAATCGAAGACCTCTGTCAGTGTTCAAGCTGCCGATGACTTGCAACACTCCGCAAAAAAAAAAATACACACGCTAGTCAGAATAGTTACAATGCCTGCACCACCAGCATGCGCGACAACCAAAAGCCAGCATCGCCTGTCTTCCGGTCTCGATCCAGAAACTTCTCGGTGCATTTAGCTGGCGTGACCATGTTCATGCGCAGGGCCAGCGTCAAGGAGTCGATCATCCAGGCCGTCAGGTCTACAGCGTTTCTGGTAGCAGATGCGAGCTTGTTGGTCAGCGATAACAGCTTGCTCAACTTCGAGTACTGACTGCTCAAGATGCCCCGCCCAAATTCCAGCTCCAATCTCCGGGCAGCCTTCTCCACGGGACCGGATGGACCCCGCAGCACTGCAACAGCTGCTGTGGCAGCCTGGTGTAAGGCCTTGTTGTACAAGGTGTTGTTGTACCTCAAGTTCTGTTCCTCACCATCCTGGACTTTTTCGACCTTGAGCAGCTGGACAGTCTTTGCAAATGTCCAAAAGGTGTCGGACAGGCCAGGGTGCCCGAGTGCCTTGACTTTCTCTGAAGCAAGATTGCGACTCTTCGCAATCTCCCCTGCGCTGGAACACAAGCGAACCTGTATCGTGACAGTGCAGCCACACTCCCACAAAATCTCCAAAACTGCTTTGTCCTGCCAAGTGCAAGCACACATCAGTCAGATGAATCAATAACATGTCATGTCATGTGAACACAAGCAGCAACTGTCCTGGGAGACTAGGGCTTTGAAGACGGCCAAGTACCAAGCCCACAACACAAACACGCCGCTAGCAAGATGCAACGAGCTGTTGAACTCTTCGTGAATCACGTCAGATGCTGACTCCGTGAGGACAATCATCTCACAAGGCCACGTCAGCCGGTTTCGTGACGTTTTTTGTTTCTTCTTGGCAGCTTCACGCGATACAACTGTGCTGAAAGCAACTTTCTTGGAGAAGAAAGCGTCTTCGAAAGTTTGGAGATCCTGCCAGCACACATCCTCAGACGCACTGGCAAAAGCTTCGGTGGCCAGCCACAGCGCGAGGCCACTGGCTTCGTAAAGTCCAGATGATGTCAGGGACGCTTGGCAGTCATCTTTGCTCCACACAGCCTGACAAACGACAACGGTCAAACAATAAATGACATTGATCGACATGCGCCCGCCTTGTATCCGGTCAAATCCCCCATCTTGGCTTCTGCGTTGATGGCAAGCGGCGGTGTCTTGAACATCTGCTTGGCCTGCGGAAACTTCAGAGGGAGCTGGCTGCGGACCTCGGGCAGGCACGGCATGCAGCACTGTTAGCCGCGAGACGGGACACGGTATCAAGAACTCAGCGAAGGGCCCATGGCACGATGTTTGCCAGGGCTTCTTGAGCACTGGCCTGCTTCACATGGCGTGCCACACATCATCATCACACACGTCATACTGCTCCGAAAATGCTGAGCTCAGAACGGTTGGGTCGGTGGGCAAATCCGGCACTTTTGCCATTGAGCGCGAGTACAGAAGCCTGGGAACCTGGGAGCCGAGTAGCCTTCCACGGAACCGTTTGGAGTCTTGCGGTGCAGCGCAAGGCAATAAGACTGCTGCAGTGCAGGACATGCTGCAAACAAACACAAACTGACGTCGACAGCGGTCCTTTGTAGTCGTGGGCCCTGCCACAGTTTGTCGACGAGCGGCTTGAGCTTTACATGTCCATTTAAATCAAGTTGGCAGCAAAGTAAGGAAGCATCAAAATCCTACTATGCTGCTGATGAGTCATCTAAACATGACGACACCAAGCCGGCGCCACATGGACCTTGGAGCCTGGGAGCCTAGGAGCCTGGGAGACGCCTCAGCTGGGCATCAACGGCAGCGAGGGCATCCTGGTCGCGGCGGAGCTGCTTGTTGGAGACGTCCACCTGTTCCTTCAAGCGCCGTTTGTGCTCCACCAGCTTGGAGCGCTGAGCCTCAAGGAGAATGTCTGAGTGCTTCCTGGGGTTGCTCATGTTCACGATGACCATCTCGATCCCGGACCTGCGTACCTTCAAGTTGCCGGTGCGGATCCGCTCTGCCAGGTCATTGCCCTTGAGCATCCAGAAGTACCCCATCGGATGGAGAACCGGCGGTGACTGGTTGATGACGCCCTCGCAGCTGAACTCGAGCATGTCCATGTCGAGCTGCTTGAGGGCAAAAAAACCCAACGTGGCCGCTGCGTGCGTGGACGAAGAAACCGGGAACAGGGATGCACCGGGATCCGGAAGGAACGGATCCCCCTGCGCAGCGAACACGTGGTTCCGGGCCAAGAAGTTCACGAGGGCAGATGTGTCCTCCTTGCTAATGTCGAAGCCGCCGCCGCCGCCGCCTTCCTCCGACTTGACCGCCGTGTAGCACATGAAGCCCAAACCCCCGCCAAGGTCGGGCCCGGGTGCAAGGGTCTGCCAGGCGCGGCTGGTCGTGGCCTGCACCATGACGTGCCTTGATCGGACGCAATACCCTGGACCCCTAAACCCCTAAACCCCTGAACCCTTGAACCCCTGAACCTCTGAACCCCTGAGCCTATAATTAATATAAAATTAAATAACAATAAATGAAAAGACTTCCTGGCGTCCGATGTACTCGAATTCAAGGCTCCAGTTCGCCTCGTCGTGGAAAGGCAGCTCCTGGCAAGGATCCGAGAACAGCGGAACATAGTAGCCGCCATCCTCCACCACAATGTCTCTTGCAGAGCACGCTTCGGCCAGATTTTTCTTGGTGAACAGTGTGAGAACCACGAACTGGGTCTCCCCAATGGCTTCTGTCAGCTGGCGGCGCGATGAGCGCAGCTTCGCCTTCACAGGCTTGTCTGCAGCAGACGGGGCCGCCCCCAACTTGCGCATGGCTTCCTTGCGCTGCCATGTGATGGCGTCCAGTTTCGTCGCCAGAAACAAGGCACGGAAGCCGATCTCCGGTGACTCGTAATAGGAATCCTTCTCAAACTCGGAAGCCGCCTCCACACTCTTCTCGTAGTCACTTGCCCTCAGCGCACAGTAGCCGAGACGCGACCAAGATCTCTGAGACTGAGTCTCTATCACTGGGTTCTCCTCCGGCTCGGCGATGATGGTGGGTGCCATATCTGCGGCGGCTGCTTTAGGATCGGCTGCGGCCATTTTCGCAGGCGGCATTGGGACCTAGTAGCCTATGTGAGCCAGGGAGCCTTGGAGCCTGTTGCCGCAGAAGCCTCGTATCAGATGCTGATAGTGACATGGCAAGACTGACACAACACACTGTCGCATGCAACTGTCATGTTCTGACAACTCAGCCACACAGCCAACCATGACTGAAATGAAACGACTTTGGGCCTGCCCCTCGACGTCCAGCTTGTCGACGACAACAGCCTCAGACAATGCAGTGACAAGTGACATGTGCATTGAAGGGTCATTTGCGTGCGTTGAAGGGTCATTCGTGTGCATTGAAGGGTGACAGGTGCTTCTTTCATCATTAAGGCACTGCTAACGTGACCCTTGGATGCACTCAAAACACCCTTGGATGCATGGAACAAGAGCTGCCGGGACCCTTGGATGCATCCAAAACACCCTTGGATGTAGCGCCGCGGCGATTGGCGCGAATCCTGCCTGTATTGAAATGAAAGAGGAAGGCTATTGCAAGGGACAAATGGAACGTCAATACACCAGGGATTGGCACCAATCCATGGTGTATTGCATCCTACCATTGTCCTGCAATTAAACAACTGCAGGGGAAGTGAATTGCAAGGCCGTTTTGTCCTGCCAATACGCCCCGGATTGGCACCAATCTGCAGTGTATTGAGCAGGGGCTTGCAACAGGCTCTGTTGCAGGCACCTGCTGCCCCAGACAAGGTTAACCCTGCCTTGCGACACAGGCCCCCTGTACATTCCTGTGCGAACGACTAGACTTAAAATGATTCGACCCCAGGAAAATTCCTGCCTGCGAACCTGGGAGCCAAGGAGCCAAGGAGCCAAAGAGCACTGTCATTAACTGCTGCAGTACAGGACTATGACGCACGAACTTTCTTGGGTTTCTTGGGGGGCAAATGCCTCATCTGTACACCAGCACCGGACAATGTCCGCTTCTGGGACAACCCGCGGACGGTGCGGAGGAAATTCCAGATATCGGCCTCTCCATTGATCTTGTAGGTGGTGCGCCTCTTGGTAGCAAATTGAGTGGGCAGTGGTGTGCCGATAGCAACACGCCACTTCGACTGGGGCAACTTCTCACAGAATCGCAGGGCCTCGACGATGGCACGGGTCCTGACTGATTGAACTTAAATGAACCCAAACCCAACCCTAGACAATAAACCCTTCAACCCGAAACCCTTGAACCTCAGTGTCTGTGCCACCGAGCAACAGTTGACAGCTCTTGGCGATCTCAAGGCCGACCAGCCTCGAAGTTGCAGCTGTGTTGAAGGACAAGAACGACTTCTCAGCATCAATTGTCGGATTGTCCAAGTATGCCAGAATCGCCTCCCTGGAGGCAAGCACTTTGCCACAGCCGTACGCAATGATCAAGGCAGGAACCTGGGATGAAACACGTCAACGTGTACCAGCAGTGACGATCTAAGCCTGGCATCATCCGACTTTAAACATTTTAATTAAAAGCTTGGGACCAGTCGGTCGCTGCGGACCGTCTCCACATCGGACAGTTGTTCGAGGACCAGGATATCGGCGGATTCATACTCGTACGGTCCAAGAATCTGGAAATGCTTGTTGCCTTGCAGCGACTTGCTGTCCGTGTAGCGACGATAGACCGGACATAGCTTCAGAGCTCGTTTGCGGAGGATGCTTTGCAAGACGGATGACCGATCCTTCTCGTGGCCGTGCTGCACCATGCGCAAACCGCCAAGCCGTGCCGCCGTTGTTGTGTAAGCAATCTTGCCAGAGGATCGTCTCCGCGCTTCCTCTTGGTGACCTTGGCTGGATGACAATGACAATGTGTATGACACTTCAAATGACTTAGCACGGAAAGCAACCGTTGTGCTGCTGAGTCACCGTCATATTTCTGCTGTGTGCGTGCACGGAAATTCTCCAAATGCTTGAGGGCATCTGGTGTGGGGCGGGCGAAAGCCCAACGTGTGCCAGCAACGCTGTTCTGGGCAGAGGCAGACGCTGCCGGCAAAGGCAGGCTCAAGCCCGGCACGAAAGAGGCCGGCTTCCACGACCTGCCTTTCGAAGCAGCTGCCTCTGCTCTCTTCGCTGCCTCGGCGGCGGCTGCTTCACGGCCTCTGACAATTGCAGCCAGAGTTCCAGAACGTGCCTGGCGTGGCTTGCTGGGCCCCTGCTTTCGTTCTTTGTTGTAGGTCATGCGGAACCGACGCCCAAAGTGACGAATCCACAGTTCACCACAAAGAACCCCGAAGTCAGTTGGGTCAGCACGGCACCTTCGCTCTCCGGCTTCCGGAAAAATTCTTCCTCTCGCTGGGGACCTTCAACTGCCACCTCGAGGATGGAGGCAATGGTTGAGCCATTTGGAGTGAGGGGTCCGGAATGCGCCTCCAGCTGTGTGAGCAAGTGTCCCAAATCCCTTTCCAGCGTGGTCGTGTTGATCTTCAAGGACAAGAAGAAAGCAATGAGGGCATGACAATCCTCTGTCCATGGAAGTTTGTGTGCATGCCGTGCACGCCACGCTGGCCGAAGCAACCAAGACCACGCATGTTTGTTCCCGAAGCCTGGGTCCTTTGACTTAGCTGCTTCTAGAAGAGGATGCAATTTGCGAGCAAATCGTCCAAACAGCACGGCTGTACCGTGCGAAAGCTTGAGCATATCACAGAGCTTGCGTGTAGAGTCCACTAGCTCCTGTTGTCGGTTCGTCTCCTGCCACAGCCGAAGGTTGAATACCTGCAGAGCCACGGCGATCTCATCCTCCGTCAGATCTACTCGCAAACGCTCCAGCATCGCCTCGACCACGTGCGCCATAGTTCCCATGATCTGCCTTACATCAGAAATGCCGGCCTTCGTGCACAGGTAGTGGACTCTGTTGCCATAGAAGATCCTAGGTTTGCCACGGCGGGCATACCAGCGAAGCCTACTGGAACACAACCGCTATGACGACGACAAACTTGCAGGGTAGTTGCGGCTCTGGTGTCTGGATCTCCTCGTAAACTAACTGGGTTGCACACCTCCTGGGAGCCTGGGAGCCTGGAGCCTCGGAGCCGTCCACGGAACTGGGAACCTGCGAGCTGTCGGAGAGGATGTATCCATCCACAAATAAGAACCGCTGGCGCTTGGTGAACTCTTCCAGCACTCTGGGGGTGCAGGATACATCTGGATCCTCAATGTCAAAGGTCCTGCGCAAGAAACCCAGGCACTCAGATGTGTAGTCGCAAGTGAGTCCACAGCGCATGAGGGCTGCTGCATTCATGTTTTGCAAGGCGCGCTCTGCTCGGGAGCGAATCTCGACCGTGTTTCTCTCCTGTGTGTCATACAACGGACATTTCAACATACATGACATACATGCGTAGAGTAACATACA